CAGCTGTTAATATTTTTCAATATTCTTAAAATTCTTATTAGATTAAACTATAAGGTGAATAATAGAACAAATAACGAAGTATAATTTATAACCATATCGTAAATTATATTATATAAAGTGAATATTGTGTTAAATAATAGAACATTGATGTTTTCTGCAAATTAAAATATTTGCAATTTGAAGATAGCTGAACGCAGATTTGCTTACATTAAAGCTTTGTGTATTATACCTCGTTATTGTTTGAGCCGAAAATATCTTTATTATATAATAATTTCTGAGGATCAAAGGCGACTCTAATAAGCTTACTGTAACGTTATCAAGCATTTGAGGGTTCCAACTAATATGCCATCGTTGTATTATCTTGACGTTTGCTCTGATGCAACGGTATCACCTATCTGTCTTTCTGTTACCGTTTAACGCAAAACATCGTGATACAAACAGCAATCAGTGGCTTAGAATAAAGAGAACACTTCCGATATTATAATTATTATTATTATCATCATCATACTATTATTATACCTTCTTGCCTCTCACCTACACGCTGACATGACGGTAAGTAAACATTCATTATGCGAGCCCCATTTTCCCTATGGGATTTTCACGATACAGACACAAAGCATACTTACTACAAAAAGGACTTTTTCGAAAACGTCCCGAGAGTATTTGCGTTTACATAATATTTTACGACAATTTAAAACTTTTAAAATGATATTGTCACAAATTAATGCCCTATTCTTGTTTTGTAAATCGATAAAACTCACCATACATGAATTTTAATTTATTTATCTCGCGTTATATTTAAATAATAAACGTTCTATAGAAAATAAAATTTCTCCATACTTTCAAAAATCTAGGCGAATAAAAAAAAAAAACGAATAGAGAAATTATTATTTATGAATTATTTTTATGTAAAATTAGGTCGATAACGATATGTTTAGTCGCCTTTATTTTAAAACCCGATTGACCATTCTTTTTTTTTTGTTCAATCTTATAGTTTTTAGAAAGTCATAAACAATACATAAAGTAATTCACGTCAAAATGTTGTTCCTTATTTTCAGCTACCCTTGTTTTTAGCACAGCTTGCAACCCCTATTAACACTGCCATCTGTATGAATTGATAGGGAATCATTTTTTATGATTAAAAGAGTTCATTTTACTTGTTGCGTAATTCTATTGAGCACCCATTATGAAATTATAATCACATAAATTGTATTTATGAAATATAATACGATTTTCATGGTTAAATTAATCAAATTATATTAGTATGTTTAAATTTATATTTTATATTGTACATAATTTGAATATATTCAACAATATACTCAACATAGTGTATTAATAAAATATATATATATATGTTGCAATTAATACATTTTTATTTAGTAGCTGCCATCGTAAAACATTTCATAATGTAGACGTACCACATTTCACTGTTACTAAATGTAATTATAGGTAGTATTGTTGAATAAATATTAATATTCAGATTTTCAAGACTGATGTACGATTTTGCATTAAACATGTCCGTCGATAGTCCATTCTATATCCGTCCCAGTCAACGACATCACCCAAGTATTTAACTAAACGACTGAAACACACTTTAACACGTTGGAGTATTCAAATGCGGATGTGTATTGAAACCCTCGACAAATTTTACGAAACGCTGCACAATCGTCGCCTCTTTGGATACATACCCCTCGACAGCATTTGTGTTTAGCATAGATTGGGACGAATTTGCCACACTCGAATACGGTGTACAGCAAAAGTAGACACTTTTGTGGGCCCTTAAAAAAAGAAACTTTTCGATTCTCTCGGACAATGCTATTCGGACAAACCTCTAAAAGCTCTCTTGTACGCTTCGAGAATTTTCAAAGAGACACGTTTTACGAGCTTTTTTTTCATTTTATTTCCAATTTATATAAAAGATTCATGCAGTTTTTATTTTTGGAAGTTGTAAACTTTCTTTTGTTTCCATACACTTATTGTACGTGTGTATTTGTATATCCCGTTCTACACTAAAATTAAAATCGTTTTAAACAAAGAAAAAAAGAAATAACAAAAGTCAGGCAGGCACATGGTAATCGAATGCGTTTAGATTTTCGTTAAAGAATACACTCAATATGATCTTTAAACTTCGCCTCTATTCTATTGGCCACCATTGTTACTCACATTGGAATTACACAGTCAAAAGACATTCAATTAAGTGTATTCCTTTCTTGAAACTAAATTAAACAACTAATTGTTCTACGTATTTTACACCAACAGACTATTTTAATTTTGTAGTATGCGCTGAATACAATAACCTAAATGTATAACGGTTTTGTGTTTATAATTTGATTATCTTTTATAATGGCAACAGTAATTAGATTATTCGTTGGGGTCAAACGTGATATTTTACCAATGTGTATTTGACAAACTTGTCGTTTTACAGCTAATTATTATTAACTTTGGTAAAAACAAAAAAGTATTGTATTACTGAATGATTTTAATGTGATTTGTGAAAAATATTGTGGCTAAGTGAACCATAAATGTAGATTAAACGTAATATATGGATAACAATTCAAATATAGTTTGGTTAACATCTAAGTTTAGACGAGTTTGTATAAAATATACTAAAATAAAACTGTTATACTATACATATTATAATACTATTTTTGTTATCAATGAATACTTTAATTAAAATTAAAGTGGAAAATTGTATTATTTAGTGGTACCGCTAAATCAACTAAAGGAAATTACACCGAGAAAAAAAATTCTTATTACATTTAGTCGCTTTACTAAGCTCACAAAACAACGTTTAACTCTTATTTCATAAAATTTTTATTTTTCATTACTTAATTCATTAATTGAAATTGGTTAACTAGAAGAAGCCATTTGCTAACCGAATTTTTCAATATAATTCTATTTATAACTTGTTGGATAAATCATTGATACGATTGAATTTTAATTATTTAAATGTTACTCGTGTTACATAAGTTACTTGAACCATTATTAAATAAATATTTATCTTTTAAACATAACAAAGTCTTAAATAAATTGTTATTTTATGCGATTGGGAATACGATTAATAGCAATAAGGTATACCTTGCTATTAATCGCAAATGAAGTTTTAAAAGATATTCACTAGATATATCCCGTAGCTTTACTTTTGGAATCTACTTCACCCCCATTCAATTTAC